AAAAAAAAGTTTCCGCCTCCTCCCAGCCTCCCATTTCCCTCCCCCTCCCCCACTCTTCTCCCCCTCCCCCACTCCTCTCCCCCTCCCTCTCTAATCCAAAGAGCAGTCATGGTTCCCTGCCCTGTGGAAAGTCCAAGGTCCTCCCCCCTCCGTCCATGTCTAGGAAGGTGAACATCCAAACTGGCTAGGCTGCCACCAAGCCGGAACATGAAGTAGGATCAGAACCCCTTGTCATTGACCTTGGCTTCTCATCTGTCCTCATTGTTCGCCATGATCAGAGAGTCCGGTTTTATCCCATGCTTTTTCAGTCACAGTCCAGCTGGCCTTGGTGAGCTCCCAATAGATCAGCCCCACTGTTTCAGTGGGTGGGTGCACCCCCCGTGGTCCTGACATCCTTGCTCGTGTTCTCCCTCCTTCTGCTTTTTATTTGGGACCTTGGGAGCTCAGTCCGGTGCTCCAGTGTGGGTCTCTGTCTCTAACTCCATCCATCGCCAGATGAAGGGTCTATGGTGATATGAAAGATGGCAGAGGCAGACAAATCTCTGTGAATTCGAGGCCAGCCTGGTCTACAAGAGCTAGTTCAGGGCACGTCTTCCAAGCAACACAGAGAAATCCTGTCTCAAAAAACAAACAAAAAACAATCCTTTAAAAGATATAAAAGACAATTTAAGATCTGATGTTTAGTGATCAATATATTCTTTACTGTGACACTTTACCAGCTCAATGATAATTCAGTGTGTATCTGTGATTGCTATAATTCTGCCTTTAAGGTTCACTTTCAATAGAAATGTAAGACTACCCATATTGTCTCAAATATATGTGAGATGATTGTTAATTTTAATAATTAGCATTATTAGTTAATCCTCAGGTCCTGAAAGATAGAAAATTTTTTAATTCTGGAAAATAAAGTCATAGAGACTTTATGTTCTAGTCATACCTCATGAACCAAAAAAGAAATAAAGGATTAATTAACAATTTTGATGAGTATTAAAAAAAATAATAATAATTTTTAACAAACTTTTAGCTAAAGTAGCCAAGAGAGCTACAATCCAAATTAAGAAAAGTAGAGATGAAATAGAGAGGTTACAATAGATGCCAGTAAAATTCAAAAACTAAGATAAGGTAGAAAATTGTAAAGGAATCAATGAATTTGTAGAGACTTAGCACTTACCAAGAAAAAGTTCTGAAATAAATATCTTAAGCAGATTTATTACAAGCAATGTGGTTGAAACAGTAATATGATACCTCCCATTAAGAATGTTCAGGCCCAGACAGGTTCACGGCTGGATTCCAGCAGACCACTGAGGAACTAGCACCAGTGTTTCCCCCAAAGGATTCTGGGAAATACAGAAGGAAGGAATGTGTTCAGACTCTTTACACACCAGTATTATAGCGATAACAAAAGCAGAAAAAGACACAATAGAACAAAGGAAATTATAGGCCACGCTCCCTCATGCACACAGTGCAAAACGTCTCAATAACAGGCATGCAGAAAAATTCCCAAGGGCATCAGCAGGAGCTGGCAAGCCAGCTCAGTGATGACGAACAATTACTGCTTGAAGAGGCCAGGTACAATTCCCATCACCTGCACGGCAGCCGCAACCATCTGTGACTCTAGTTTCAGGGATTCCTGTACCCTTCTGTGGCCTCTGCCAGTGTGCTTATATACACACACATGTAAAATGCTTATAAAAATAAGGTTTTAAAAAAGAATACCCCAGAATGATAATTCAGGCCTGGGGGTGCAGCTTGGTTGGTAGTCTTTGCTTAGCATGCATGACAACCTAGGCTTGATCCTCAGTGCTGCAGACACTGGTTATGGTAGGCAGGCACTTGGGGGGTCCAAGCAGGAGGGTCAGAAGGTCAAGGTCACCCTGAGATGTACAGTGAGTTTGGGCTCTGTGAAACCTTATAAAATATGAAAAATAAAAGTCTTTAAAACAGAGGAAAGAGTACCAGTGAGATGGCGGAGGGGGGAAAGGCACCTTCTATGATGCCACAGGACCCACATGGTGGAAGAAGAGAATCCGCCCCCCAAGTTTTCCTCTGACTTCCTCGTGCAGTGTGGCATGTTCACACACATATTCACAATACG